TTTAAAATTTTTGGTAATAAGTTTCAATGTGGAACAGTTTAGATGTTGAAACTGCATTTAAATATTTAAGTTTCGATTTAACGTCTATCTTTAACTTGTGTAAACTGGGAGATAACGTTAGGAAGATTAGTACTTTAGAACTGTCTGACCAAAAAAAAAAAAAAAAAAAGAAGAAGAAGAAGAAACATAAAATCTTATCTGTAAATCAATCGTAGATTTTCTTATCTTGAAAATGTGTACAGCCAGAGGTCAGAGGTCACGGGATTTGTAAGAGTTGTAAATAAAGTCGGTGGATGAATGCTTTAATGACGTCATTTCGTTTGATAAGGTTATAGTCGTATGACGTCGATGTCACATGTTGTACCAGCGAGTTACACCGACATGTTGTACTGGCGAGTTACGCAGATATTTTGTGCGAGGGAGTTACCCCGACATGTTGCACCAGAGAAAATACACAGACATGATGTACCATCGAGTTGCACAGATATGATTTACCATCGAGTTACACAGACATGATGCACCATCGAGTTACACAAACATGATGTACCATCGAGTTACACAGACATGATGTACCATCAAGTTACACAGACATGATGTACCATCGAGTTGCACAGACATGATGTACCATCGAGTTACACAGACATGATGCACCATCGAGTTGCACAGACATGATGTACCATCGAGTTACAAAGACATGATGTACCATCGAGTTACACAGACATGATGCACCATCGAGTTGCACAGACATGATGCACCATCGAGTTGCATAGACATGATGTACCATCGAGTTACAAAGACATGATGTACCATCGAGTTACACAGACATGATGCACCATCGAGTTGCACAGACATGATGCACCATCGAGTTGCACAGACATGATGTACCATCGAGTTACAAAGACATGATGTACCAGCGAGTTGCACAGACATGATGTACCAGCGAGTTGCACAGACATGTTGTACCGATTGTAAGGGGAAAAGTCACAAAATATATGTTTTATAAAAACTGGTATGTGAAAGTGTTTATGGAATTCTATTTGTAAGTCCACATGCTTATTTACTGAAAAACAGCAAATAGAAAATAGCATCAGCTTATTCGGATCTGGGTTTGATTCTCACTTTGGATTAAATATGTGTTGTTGTTTTTTTGTTTGTTTGTTGTTGTTTTTTTGTTTTTTTTGTTGCTTATCCGGCAATTTGATCGAAAGAAATTTCGTCGACGGTAAATTGATTGACGGTAATTTGATCGAACGGAAATTGTGTCGAATCTTTTTTTTTCTCAGTTTTTACGTAAAAACTTTGCTTCCAATTTCTTTTTGAGCGCATTATTCTTGTTTTACTATATACCATAGTGCGTTCAAACAGAAAATTTGACGAACATTTTAACGTGTGAACTAAAAAAAGATTCGACCAAATTTTCGTTCGATCAAATTTCCATCAATCAATTAACCGTCGGCGAAATTTCTATCGATCAAATTTCCGGTAACCGGATTTTTATTTACATAATATACACACATAATAATTCGCACATTTCATAGTATGATTTATTATTACTTAGTTATGCACGCGTGCATACATATTATAATCGCGCATTTAAGTCTACGATTAATTCAAAAATAGTTTTTATTGCCATGCGTGGAGCCCAAAAAAACGGGAATATTACAGATTGAATGGTAGTGAACGATGGGGTAGAGGTTGAGCTCTCGTCCAAAAGGACTGTCATCTGACTCTTGTCTCTGATCTCAACGACCTATCTGACATAATAAAGGAATCAAAGGAAAGCAATGTGGGACCAGCTTAGTTTCTTGTGACTTTCTTTTGTTGTTTTTTTCACTTTTTTTTCTTCTTTTTTTTCCCCGTTACTGTTTTCCCAAGTTTTTTTTTTTTTTTTTTTTTACTTTCTTTTCTTTTAAATTTTTTGTTTTTTTTTTCTTATTTTTTTTTTTTTTTACTTTTTTAAATAAAGGAATCAAAGGAAAGCAATGTGGGACCAGCTTAGTTTCTTGTGACTTTCTTTTGTTGTTTTTTTCACTTTTTTTTCTTCTTTTTTTTCCCCGTTACTGTTTTCCCAAGTTTTTTTTTTTCTCTGTAACTTTCTTTGCTATCAAAATTTGTGAATTTTTTCCGTGACTTTTTTTTCCTTTGACTCTTTTCCGTTCACAGTTATACCACCCAGTAGATCAGGCATGTTGTACCACGTCGTGACAAATCATATTGCGCCAGCCAAGTAAAATAGTCAAGCGCTGTACCATCCAGTAACTCAGACA